CTGCACCTGTTACACGTGTACTGCACCTGTTACACGTGTACTGCACCTGTTACACGTGTACTGCACCTGTTACACGTGTGCTGCACCTGTTCTGTCTCTTATACACATCTAGATGTGTATAAGAGACAGGAGACCAGCTGTTCGTTACAGAACTTTAATCTGCATAAATTGTGGATTTTTTTGATGAATTTCTCCCTGTCACGAACAAGGAGAAAAAGAGTGGCAGTATTTGGTGTAGTATGGATAAAAAATGTAAAGATTCATATAAATGACATAGAATGAATAATAATTATAATACATAAAGTAAATAACTTCAAAATATTTAATGGAAATATATATTGAAATAATTTCCAAATAATAATAATATATATAAGTGGTCGAAGAGCAATCCAAGCGTTTCAAAGTCATATCACCACGTCATATAGCCTTAAATAACACTTGCAATATAATGTGATATATTACACTTTTTTTATTTCTTACTCACTTAACTTATGTTTTTTTGTGAAAATTCACTTGGTTTACTCAGTGATTATTACTCAATTTAAGTTTAGTATTTCTTTTATACTTTATTCAACTCAAATAACGTAGGTATGGTGCTTTGAGACTCAAGTTTGGTTGCTGTTTACTTGGCTTGACTTAGCGCTTTGGTTGTGCCTGTGCATAACTGCTACAAATTATGATCATATAACAATATCAGAGGTGGGCAGTAGCGCGTTACATGTAGCGGCCGCTACATTTTCTGTAGCGGTAGCGCCCGCTACATATTCAAGTAGCGATACGAGGTTTTGCCGCTACAGCGCTACCGCTACATTTATAGATAAAGGCTTTAGATTTTACTTAATAGTATTAATATTATTTAAAAACCAGCATGATTCATACATAATATAAATTACAGAATAAAACTGTACGAAAGATTTTGGTGTAATGTTGTCAACCTTGACCTGTTACTAGTGTCAACCTGTTGTTACTTGTTAAGTTGTTACCAGTTACCACTTACAGGTATTTTATCATGTCTCAGTTTGCTTACAGTTATTTTTACACTGTTATTTTTATGTTCCACCTTCCCTACATGGATGTCTACTTTAATCTACAAATCTCAAAAATAATCCACATATATATATATACAAATAAACGAGTGATTTTTTATATGTATATGTGGATAATTTTTGAGATTGGTAGATTAAAGTAGGCATCCATGTAGGGAAGGTAAAATATAAAAATAACTGTAACTTTTATTTACTGTATCTAACCCGTACTAGTTCGGTTAGGTTAATTGCAATAAAGTTGCATTGATATGTTTTGAAAATGTTTTATTATCATTAAACGTTAATGAGTAAATCCCAATAGCAGAACAGTAGCTGTCTCTTATACACATCTAGATGTGTATAAGAGACAGATTATATACGGAGTAAAATAAAAACATGGTAGTAAACGTATTGCCGTGTTAGATGTAAATTCTAAAATAAACCCCCACGCTCTTCCTACGCGAAATACTAGGCATATGATCAACAACGTTCATTGGTTTATGCATCAAGAAAGAGGCTAAATTAGTATGAAAGAAATAACTTATCATAAATCAAGTGATAAATTTGAAATATATTCCATATCGCTGAGTATTGACTTTTCAACACAATAGGCTTATTTATTTATCATTCAGCTTTCGTTTATAGCAAATTGAAGAGCAGTAAATTGTTCAAACAAAATTAACAAAAAACACCAGATAGGCCTTAGTGAGCTACCTGTCTCTTATACACATCTAGATGTGTATAAGAGACAGCCCTAAAACCTATAGCATCGGGATGAGACTGGTACCAAAATGTTGGGCACAAACTAGAGAACACGTGGGTGGAGTTTGATCAAGATCATTAGTCTGTAAAGGGGGGCTATAATAATATAGTTATAATATATAGTTATAATATATATAATATATAGTTATAATATATATAACTATATCAAAAGTGTTTTGCTCAGACTCAAGGACGGCCGGTTTTTCAAGGCTGTCCGTAGCTCCGGAGTCGATACGTCGATGCCGGATCGCTTGAATTATTGTTATGTAATGTTGTTATCAGCAATGCAGTGAGTACTGAGTGGTAGCGGCCATAGTGTGCGTCACGACGCGCTGGGGTAAGGGTGTAGGTTATCTCGAGCAATGGGGACGAACCACAGTCTTTTTAGAATAAGTTAATTTTTAATTTCCTCATCTACTCAAGATTTAAACCAATTTCTTACGTATGATAATGCTGATATCCATGATACTTACTGGTCTACTCAGTACTCATAGGACACAAAAATTATCTTGAGGCAGAATCTAAAAAACTAGCTATTCTCTGCTTTGACTTGACACCACGTCTCGCGCCGATTGGCGATTGCCATTGATTAGGACCATAGGACATTGAGTCATCCTGTGCGTAATCATTATTCATTAATGTGGCTCATTGTGCTGAACTATAGTATAGGTAGTGTCGTCAGCATATGCATTTTTGTCTCATTCACAGGCTAAAATCTGCCTGATTTTCAAGAATGCATTAAGTTACCAGAATTTCCTTGAGCTGCAAGATTTCAGAAACAAGTAGGAAAATTCCAATCCAGATAATGACCAGATTCCAGGGCACAACATTTGCCTTTGAATACCCTTTTATTTTCTCTTGGTAATAAATCTTAAATGAAGCAATACAAAATACAAATATATATATCTGTCTCTTATACACATCTAGATGTGTATAAGAGACAGGGTAGGAGGTGAGGCCAACATAGGGTAGGAGGTGAGGCCAACATAGGGCAGGAGGTGAGGCCAACATAGGGCAGGAGGTGAGGCCAACATAGGGTAGGAGGTGAGGCCAACATAGGGCAGGAGGTGAGGCCAACATAGGGCAGGAGGTGAGGCCAACATAGGGCATATGAGAGGACAAAAATAGGTTTTTGTATAATCAGTTTGCTTGAATCACAAATTCAACAAGAATTAAAAAAAAAAGAAAATTGACTTTATCTCTTCATTCAATAAAAACATGGCAAACAGTGCATAGCCTGTGAGACTTAAACTGAATTTTTGCCGAGACATAAGCTGGATTTTGGAACCACTACACAATGTTTTGTGTGATACATGAAGTTTTGTATTCATTGCTAAATGAATGGACCCATACACAGTGAGTTTTGGACACAAATACACCAATACATTATGTTGTTGTAAAAAGTGTATTGAAGCATTGTAAAAATGAAGATGTGTTGCTAGGATCTATATTCAGCTAGATAAAACTTACTATAAAAATTTTCAAGTAACTATTTTCAATGCTTTATTTCTTATCGTTGCTTGATAATGAGATTTTAATTACAATATTGCAACTATGGGCTATTTGATGCCATTCTTGAAATAGCTCCTGATTGATATACGTGTCAAATTGCAATTATTATTTTAGAATTCATCATAATATATTTATTTTGTAATAAATATATTACATATACCTAATATATTATATCTATTATTTATATAACATAATCTATTTAATATACATTCTAAAATATGCTTGATGGTGGCAGGGAGATCTTGACTCTGTGGGACGGTGGCCAGATCTCTCTTGACTGGATCATTGACCCTCGGGCAACTCAGCCGGTCAAGCCTGATACACACAACTCTTGTCAGGTCAAGTCTGAAACACACGACTCTTGTCAAGTCAAGCCAGACTCATGTGACTCTTGTCAAGTCAAGCCTGACACACGTGACTCTTGTCAAATCAAGCCTGACACACACGACTCTTGTCAAGTCAAATCAGACTCACTTGACGCCTGTGTTGAAATATCTCAAACTAGTGATGGAGTTATTGAAGCTTGTCCAAGTTCACTGCAAAATGGTTCTGTAGCAAAGGGAAATGGTTCTATCTCATACAGAAATGGTTCTATCTCACAAGAAAATGGTGTTATAGCTCAAGAAAATGGTGTTATAGCTCAAGAAATTGGTGTTATAGCTCAAGAAAATGGTGTTCCAGCACATGGAAATGGATCGCTCCATGATGACAAGGCACTGAAGAAAGTTAGTTTAATACTGGAGGAAGGAATTACAGCTCAAACGAAGGATGTGCAAGGATGTTCACTATCACACAAAGACTCAGTTGTTTCAACATCAAGAGATGACCTGTTTTCAAATAAATATTCAATTTCTATTGAAAAATATCTAGTATGTAATTCCAATTCTTCAGCTTTGGATGGAAGCTGTGGTAAATCTACAGGAGAAAACAACGATATTTTAACCAAAGAGGAGAGCGTTGCCTCTGCCATNGCTGTGGCCTCACTAAGAGGTGTCCATGGCGCTGTGGCCTCACTAAGAGGTGTCCATTGTACTGTGGCCTCACTAAGAGGTGTCCATGACGCTGTGGCCTCACTAAGAGGTGTCCATGGCGCTGTGGCCTCACTAAGAGGTGCCATGGCAGCTGAAGGCAAGCCTCTGTCCAGCAGGTAAAGGTCTTTTGCATTTATTGAGCTGAGGCTCGACGGCTTCACTTATGTAAGCGTAGCGGCTATGGAGTTCACCCCAGCACCATGTGACTTTAGTTAACTGTCATCCAGGGCTCATTATGTTACAGCTTTGGAACCGCGGGAGGCCCAAACCTCTCCCCAATTCCCAATTAACTCCCGTACTCAGGCCTCTCCCTCTTCTTCGTCCCCTCACTCCCTCGTCCCCTCACTCCCTCGTCCCCTCACTCCCTCGTCCCCTCTCTCCCTCGTACCCTCACTCCCTCATCCCCTCACTCCCTCGTACCCTCACTCCTGTCTCTTATACACATCTAGAAGCTCTGCCCAGGTGCTTTGTCTGCTCTGTCCAGGTGCATTGTCTGCTCTGTCCAGGTGCCTTGTCAGCTCTGTCCAGGTGCCTTGTCAGCTCTGGCCAGGTGCTTTGTCTGCTCTGTCCAGGTGCCTTGTCTGCTCTGTCCAGGTGCCTTGTCAGCTCTGTCCAGGTGCCTTGTCAGCTCTGTCCAGGTGCCTTGTCTGCTCTGTCCAGGTGCCTTGTCTGCTCTGTCCAGGTGCCTTGTAGGAGATGTAAGGCATCAGTGTAACGCCCTGTATCCTGCAGCAGATGTAAGGCATCAGTGTAACGCCCTGTATCCTGCAGGAGATGAAGGATATGCTCGCGGGACCTGACCTGCCCTGGGACTTCGATGAAGTCCTGAAGGCGAAGACCATACGCGAGTTCGTTACTTACTCTAATAAGAGGTTCTAGTGCAATGTATCAAAAATACTAAAAGCTGGAATGAAGTTGGCTATTGTCGTATTCAGCTGTGGTTACGTTCAGATATAAACAAATCTTAATATTACAATCAAATCTAATTCTAAATTTCTAAATTTTTTATTTATTAATACAAAAATCTTGAATATTAAGCTGGACCGCTACATACCTACTGAAATTATATGATATTAGAGCCGCGATATTTCAGACAAAAATAGGACTTTTCCAGACTAGCTGGTAGGTATCCATGATACTTTACTGGTCTACTTATAGGACACAAAAACGAACTTGAGGGAGAGTCTAAAAAAACTCTCTGCTTTGCCACTATGCTTGCAATATTCATCCACTCTCTGCACAGTGCACAGTGGACCAGGAACTGGTGCACAGAGCTGGGATTGAACCCGCACCTCTCTGCGCCAATCTTGCCATTATCTTGGTACTCTGAACTGTAACCACTGGGCCACCCTGGGGCAATTTTGATAGGGCAATTAAAAACTTGTATAGATGTCCATACATTATAATATGGCCATACAGGGCTTTACAGGCATACCCATACATATACCAGGTACTGCAACAATATAAATCACATGATCTGATGATCACAGCTTCACAGGGTGCAGGTACTGCAACAATATTTTAGAAACTTCAAAACTATTTTCTGTTAATATTGGCTGTCAAAATTTTTTAATATTTGTTTTCCTGGCTAACAATTTGTCAGTACTCAAAGTCTGTTTTGCTATCCTTGTCACTAAATTGTATGGAAGTAATTATCTCAACTATCTGGCCTTTTAAGTGCTGTGCTTAGCTTAGATCCTCTTACTGATAAGGAGTGCACTTAATCAATCAGCTTCAAAAACATTGATCTTTAAAAGTATTCATCATTACTCTAGCCCTGCCTCTTATCAGTAGTTTGTTATCATGAATGATATGCATTTAATGATAGCTTTGGACACTTGAACCTTTAGGCTTTAGCCACTCTAACCTCCTTGACTTGTTAGCATGCTAATAAAAAGCTGAGAGACGCATTGGACAAGTTATATTGAACTCAATAACGTAGTGATAAGATAAGAATATAGGACAAAAGTAGGGAAGTCTTGAGTGGTCAAGAGATGTGTGCTGCAAGCTGTACTGAGCTTCCCTTATAGCAAAGTAGGAACACTTGTTATTTGCCTTATTGAATATGAAACTGTAATTATTGGTTTTACTTGACATGCAAACAAAGTTGAACTGTCAGACAATTTTTGACAGGACCAGGGTGCAGAGCAAAGGAATATCTGCAGTTCTTGCCACCACATTTTCTTTAATTATACATCTATACATCTCTTTACTTCTATCTTTCTGAACTATACATCTCTTTACATGTATCTTTCTGAACTATAGGTACATCTCTTTACATGTAACTTTCTGAACTATAGGTACATCTCTTTACATGTAACTTTCTGAACTATAGGTACATCTCTTTACATGTAACTTTCTGAACTATACACCTCCCACCAATTTTAAGTGAGTTACATTTAGCTGTCTAAGTGCTTATGTTATTTCATTTAAATGAATTTGTTTCAGGTGTGCATTAAATTTAGCCAGCTCAAGCCATGCTACAAGCAATCTTATTGCAGCTACGGCTTGTCACTGACACAGCCTTGCATGTCCTTGTGCAACATCCAGTCTCTGCTACCGTCTGCCTGACCTGCAGTTTGCTGGTTTACTACCGGCTCAAGGCTGTCAATGTAAGTTGTGTTTCTGTTGATGTCAAGTGGTATCATGCCATTTACGTACCACTGCCATGCCAATTATTTAAATGTCATGCCTAAATTGCAGAATTGCCAATTCTATGGAATCAGCGGCCATTTTACTAAATCTGTAGAATCAGCATTTCTATGCTATAGGAATCTGGGGTTAGGTCTGTGAGCCAAGTTTCTTTTAATATTATATAAAGGAACTTGATCAAACTTGACCTAATCTCTTCTAACTCTGTTGATTTATGTTGTAACTCTAACTCTAATGTCCAATTTTCTGAATCAGCAACAAATGCTGAATCTACTGATTTGGCAAACTGGCTGCCAATTCCATAGAATTGGCAATTCCAAAATTTCAGCATGACATAAATAGGTAAATGCTAGAGGCATGCCACTTAGATGCCAGTGTTATACAAATAAAATGCTACTGCCATTCAAGTTCTCTTCAATTACTTAAAAGAAAATTTTGGAGGCAGATATTTTTCCCATTCTATTTTTTGCTCATCTTTTTTCAACTTTGATTTCTGATTTACATTATATTCCATAGTACACAAAATTTCTGATATGTAATATGTATTATATTCCACAAACTAAATGGGCTAAAATGGCAAAAATTTACCATGATATTCTCTTATGAAGCCTAAATGTTTATATTTGTATCCAGCATTAATCAAATTTTACTACTTTGTATGCACTCAATTTAATGTATTGTGTCATAAGTTATGTCTAACAATTCTATTTATTGAAATAATTCATATATATTGTGCAAGTTTGGTGTTCAACATCTTGGCCAAACAATGGTATTGTTCTGGTAACATTGCTACTTTATTTAACTTTGAATATTTTGTTATCTTCAGTGTGTAGTAACCTGTTTTAACCAACCTTGTTTGGTATTAACTGACCAAACAAGTGTGATGTCACAACCACTCAGCAACACCAGCAAACAAATCAGATACTGTAAACTGGGGTGACTTAGACCACTTTTTTTTTAAATGATGCCATTTTTTTACTAGATAAGTTAAACTTAAATTGAAACATGCACAATACAGGTCTATACTCTAGCTT